AGGACTGAGAGAAGTTGCAGAGGAGATTTTGTGTACACCTTGCCAAACTTGACCATCTAGCACCTTTTCCAAAAATAAACTGGGGACTTTGGGGTTTTTTTGTTCTTGTTTTTCATTCTTAACCTTTGGACTTCTTTCAATGTCATCTCTCTCTTCAGGTTAGCAGACTTATCAAGCTGTGCAGACTCCAGCTGGGACAGAAAACAGCTGCCCCCTTTCTCAGGACTTTATCTGTTGTGAGCACACCACATCTGTGCTCACACCCTCCAGCATCTTAGTCAGCTTCTGATGCTATTTTAAGTTTTTGATTCTATTTTCCAAAGCAAGGAATAGGCCAAATTCCAGATAAATCAAAGATCATGACATCATGTCTATCTGAGATCTCCTGTATTAGCTACACTGCAGACCACAGAGACCAAGAAGTTTATGAAATCTGGGGAAAAAAAAAACCTTCTTGGTTGACAGATCTAATTTAGCAAAACCCTTCCTTATGCAGTCAGATAAATTGTGTACCTAGGCATTTTCAGCAAATGCTGCAACTCTTCCATCTTGAGAAGACCTTTCTGCCATACTGGCAATCAAATACCTCTTTTGTTTCCCACTTTATCCTAGCTCACTCTCTCCCCTCAAAAATAACACCTCAGCCTGAAAAATAAAATCATGCCAGAGACATAAAAAGCAGGACTGCAGTGTGAAACGCTGAAACTAAGGGCGAGAGAGGTTGAATAGTGAAGGGCCAAATAGCTTCCACCTCTTTTAGCTTCCCATGCAAACAAAGTCCTTTAAAAATGTCATTGTATTGTGTGCTATCCGTTTGATCACAATGCTGAGGTAATCTGTATTAAAATATGTAGTGTTGCTGCGCCCAGTGGAAAAGAAAATGTATTTCTTCTCTTTCCAACATTTCCATTAGACCTTGTGAAGATTTGGGCAATAACAGACTTTCATACCACTATACTGTTCTATAAATATATGATGCTCCTCTGAAGCCGCAAAGATAATGGATTATTTATAGACTGTAAAAACTTTGTCACTCACTGACCGTATTGTATTGTGGAGTGTATAGATTTTCTATAATGTAATTACTGTCGGAAAATTGACTTCCACTTGAAGCTCAGAGAAATTTATGTTTTAGTGACCTCACTACGTTCACTCTGTGAGTGAGTCTGAGTGACAACAGCTCCCGAAACTTTTATGTTACCTTGTTTTTAATGATTTCTGATGATTTTACATTTTAAAGCAATTAGAATGGGCCATTATAAGCCTTAGTAGTCCTCATTCCTCTAGGTAGCAAGGAGTGACTAAACTACTGGCTGGATTTAAATAAAAAACAGTATGAAAAATTCATATACGCATTAACAGAAGGACAGCAACATCAAGTGAGATCAAGGGTCCACCTAACTCAGTATGCTATGTCCCGCAGAGACTTTAACCAGATGCCTAGGGAAGAGCAACAACAGGGCAGGCGTATTACGTTAGTAAGACAGAAAACAGTATGTGCTGTCTAGATACAGGAGTACACGTAAAAACTATCCAAACACAGGTACACATCTATATGAAACTCTCTCTCCTAAAGTAATCTCAGCAGGCAAGAAAAAGCAGACTCAGATTTTTAACCAGATACGTGAAACTTTGTCAAGACTCAGCGATGCTATTTTAGTTGCTTTGCTTACAGTTTCTTTTTGTACGGCGGGCTGGAAATGGCAAAGGAGGTGACTTTTTTAAACACCTTCGTTTTGACTCTTTTTAGGCTCTGTAGCTTTTACACGTCTCGGTTTTAACTCTTGTCTGTTTGTTTTTATTTTTGTTTTTTAATGCAGTGCCGGTGGCAGATATAAAAGCTGTTGTGACAGGGAAAGACTGCCCTCACATGAAGGAGAAAGGAGCTCTTAAACAAAACAAGGTATAGTTTCTCAAATTATAATAAACACGTCCCCCACAGAATACAAAGTCTGGCAACTTGACCTTCGCTGATATTTTTCATTCCAGCCTGACACCTTTCGGTGTACACACACACACACACACAGTTTTCACCTCAGACCATTTGAGTTAAATTATTAGGACAGCCTGCGCTCCCTTTACTCAGATTTCATGGCAGATGTGCATTGTGATATTTCTGAGCTGCCCAGAGCGTATTAGGATAGTCTTCCTAAAGCAAACGAGTTTTGACTGCTGTTACCCAGCGGAACAGAGCAGCAGTGACTGTTGGTACCTACTTCTGTATTGTCTCTGATAAATAACTAGTTTGTTCCAGCTGCATTCTCGGATGAGCTCGTGTTCACTGAACATGGCACATGTCAGAATTGCAATTAATGTCCAGCTGATGATAACTTGAGATCCAGTCAGGTAGAAAAACAACTGCTTACAGTAGGATGCAAGGTAAATGCTAGAGAGTTAATGAGGTGTATAAGGATGTGTTCAACAGTGCATTTGGAAATGCATGTAGGAGACAATGGTCAGCTTAAGTTAGGTTTATGCTACCTCTCGGAATTTCAGATCAAGAGCGGTGAACCGACACTAATACTCAAGGCGTACAGCGCCAGAATCTTGCAGAGTCTTTTTTAGTAAGAATTGCCACCACATCAAGAAGAAATTGAGTTGCTAGCGAATTCTGACATCTTTAATGGTGTAGATCTTCGTACCATATCATACGGGGTATGCTCGTAAGCTTTCCATCAGATTGTGCTGCTGACCTTAGGAGAAAGAATAAGATCCTAGTTATGTTCTGACCTGGAACCACAGCCCGAGATCTGGAAATCAGCTTACAGAATTTGAATCGGAATCTGTAATTACCTCAAAATGAGAAATTTTATGGCCAGCTCTTAAGAGATTTTGGTGGACAAAATTGCAAAGAGTCCCCGCTTCAATATTTTAAAAACAAAATGTGTGCATTTAGTGTTCATAAAAATACTAGAAAAAACAATTCCTATGGGAACCATGGAAAATGAAGAGAGGCACTGTCAAAATTGCGTCATGTGACATGTAACTCTGTCAGTCTTATCTCATTGCTGACTTTTCTTTAACTGTTGCTGGAGATGGATACATATGGCATTTCAAGTGTTGCTTGCATGTGTTTCTCATACATGCCATTTGATTTAGGTCTATCAGGATATCTTCGTCTGCTTTCAGCACTGGCTTTACGTGAGTTGAAATGAAAAGTCAGTCAAGTGAGGAAGAAATTCCAGGATAGTCTTTCCTTGTTGATTTTCTGAATCAGGACACTAGCACACTCATGCACACAATAGATTGCATACAACCCCTGCCTCATATTACAGAACCAGAAGCATTTGGCTGAGGCATTTATATGGTGCATATAAAGTATTTTTAGTGCTTCCTTGTTTCAGTACTCATATGTCCACACAAGAAGGAAAGCAGTGGGTGGCAGTGATGGAAGTGAATGTCATCTTTATGGAGCAGTAATGTCTAGATAGTATTTAATGCTAAATAGCAGTGCTGCAGATCTGCATGTCCTCAGCTGTCAGCATCACCCCATTTCCTCGGGTAAAATTGCTTTGGACTGTCATAAAGCTTCTGGCTGAGGATATGAAGATCAGGAATTGATAGGTAGCATAACCATCCATAGCTGGAGCATTCAATTTTTGATGCAGACAATAATAATTACTATGTTTTTACTATTTCTGGTGTTCTTTTTTTGTTGTTTTTTTATTTCCCTGATTTTTATCTCTTGGAAATGACAGAATTTGGGAAATTAGTTGTCATGCCAAACAAACTGTCATGCACAGTATTGCAACAACTTAAGTGTGATCGTAGTAATAACACGTCACTGTTTGCTGAGTAGCAAGCTAATGTGGACAGTGAAGGGGTTGGGGGGGAAGCCAGAGACAGACTGTGATTTGGCTGAGTTTGGTGTATGAAATCTTTCTTTTAGATTCCACTTCCTGAAATTTCACAATTGACGATACATTTTTTTAAGATGCATTTTCATCTTTTGCTGTCTTTTTATATATCTAGCAACCATCTTAATGTTTATTCATTGGCAGAAAAGAAAATTGAATGGCAGAATGCCACTGTTACGAATGTAGCTAGAATTGGCAGAATGTCCATAACAAAGGCTTCAGCATCTCTTCCTTTGCCAGCACATGATCTTTATTCTTCCGGCGGGATCATTTAAAAATACATGAGTTAAACTAAATGGGAATTTGCATGCATATGAAGCGGGAATGACTTGATAGAACCAAACCTGAAGCCGTTGTTATTCATCCTACTTGAATTTTTAAATTGGGTTTAATTTTAAAGTCCTCATTTCTGATTCTCAGGTAATATTAATGAATTTCAAGGAAATGAAATATATTAGATTTTTCAGCCTTTAAAACAAAGAAACATGATAGAAGAATTTGGGGAAAAAATGTTCATGTAGCTGTGAGTGTTCTTCTATCATGGTTTGTCTGCTGATGTGACAGTCTTCAGACTTGGGGCCTTTTTAGTCAGCATAAATGATTCGACTCACTTCCCTGTTCTTCTGTAACTTCTCTTCTCATTTATTTCATGCTGTTTTCACAAGCTCCCTGCCAGTGCATGTGCAGTTAGTTCTCTGGTGGGACCTTCTGGCTCTCACAAGCAAGCTTAACAGGGCCATGGTCTCAGCCATCGGCAAAGACATGGGCTTTTTGAGGCTGTTGATGGTGAAGTGGGGAGAGAGTAGCAAGGTCGATCCAGCTGCATGGGATCACTCAGCCATAGCGCTTAACAATGCCTGCGTATCAAAAATAGCTTGTCTCTGATGGGCCCATATGTGAGAGGCTAGTGGAGGCTGCAGGAGAGAGAAGCATTGGGAGTAGGAGAGCAAGCTTCTTCTCACACCTTTCCCTGTGGGGTTGAAACCAAGGAGCAGGCAGTGGCCAGCTTGTTGGAGCAGAGTCTCTTTTTCCTTGTTTTCATAAGAGCTCGAAAGAGAGGCACATCCTGGGTCCCAATATGGCTACCTTTTGTAAGCATCTGGGGAAGGGCAGAGATCTGAAATCTGCAAGGGGAGAGGAGTTAGGCATGCTGAGGGAGCAAGTTCAGCAGATGGAGGGGAAGAAGAAGGAGAGCAAAACAAAGAGATAAGGAGCAGGTCGGAAGGCATGTGAGAATGACTTTGAGAGAGGTTGAGAAGTAGGACAGAAAAGGGAAAAGAACAGAGCTAGCTAATGGAGAGTTCCAGTTTTCCAAAATCACCTGCTGTTGGCGGGAATGTAACAAGACCAGGTGAGAGGTCAGTCAGCTCAGCCACCAAGATCACCATCACTCTGGAGGGCCAGCTAGCAACTCCAGCGCCTTCAGGACCAAAGCTTCCCTTTTCCTTGACAGTTTGCCATGCATGAGATGACAGAGATGCTGGGCCTGGAAGCTGTAATTCCCAAATGTTTAATCTCTGGAGCAGCCAACAAAGACTAACAGGAGCCAGGGCTGTCAAACTCCCACTTTCCCACATAAAGGGAAATTTGGTGTCCCAAATCTAAGGCTTTCTGATTATCTCTCTGACTGGACAGGACTAAACCCATGGTTCCCTGGGATGTTCCCGTTCTCAGGCAGAGGTTTTTTCTGCTTTTCCTTTCTTTGGGTTGAACAAAATTTCAATTCCTTGGAATTCCCCCTAGGACAAATATTCAGAGGCCAGGCCTATTGAATTGTTGTTGACCTTCATGAAATTCAGGAACTTCATAGCACTGCAATTCAACAAACACTTTTTGTGGTGGTGTATTTTATTTCCACAACTTCAGTTGCCTGTCTTGGTGTGTTCTGATGTCAATAATTTGTAACACTCTGTGAGGAGATAATGCCAGGTTTGCATGGGCAGAGGTAAATTTGTTCCTGTAATGAGGGACGTTAATCTCAATAAGGCATGGTTGAGACACATGCCTAAAACACAAAAAGTGAGCCATGAGCAATTTGTTTGCTGAGTGCACCACTACTGTTAGTAGCTGCAACTTCCTTGGGGATTTAACCCAGAGACTTGTCTCCTGCCATACAGCAAGTTAAAACTAATAACTAAACTCAAGGAAACCAAGAGTACGTCCCATGATATCCTGATCTCCGATCAAGCAAAGAGTATCCCTGAGGATTGAAAGTGTGTGATTCAGGCTCTGCTGTTAATCACACAAGTTCAAAAATGAAGTAACCCTTACTGAAATCCAAAGAGCTGCTCCTGGTTTAGGCCAGTAGATCAGGGGTAGGAATCTAGACCAATATATATGCCTCAGTCCCCACAGTCAGCTCCTCCATTTTAAAATTTAGTGTAGCAAATATAAGAAACAGTGCTCTTACAGCTGCCCAGCACTGCAGGGGCAGTGGTCAACTGAGAGTCAGCAAAACTAATTGGTATTATGAGATCAGGAAGCCAAGGGACAAAAAGAACAAGACATACTCTACAGATCAAAGTAATTCAGAGTTAGCACCCTCCTCTGTAGCCAGGTCTTTTTTCCACAAATGTATTATTTCCCTATCAGCTAATTTACAGGCTGTGAAATCCTTGTAACAGTGCTTGTAGTGATGTGTGGAATAACCATGAAAACAAAATATCCTTGTGTGCTCACTGCTGGCTCGTGAAAGTTTGTTATTTATTGAGGTTGGTTGGGTTCCCCAAAGGAACAGAGCTCCAGGTGACTTACAGGGAAGGTCAGTGCTTAATGAATTCCCTTTGGTGCCTTTGAAATTCTAGCTTCAGTTCTAGCAAAAAAAAGAAATTTGATTTTTTTCCTCTCCCAAGACTCATTTGGTTCTTTTTGACTGAAAAACCCAGATACACAGAGAAGTAGTTCAGTTTGAACTCACAGGAATGAGTCTGCTGATTCCAGTTAAGATGGAGAAAAAATATCAGAAATCTCTTGAGAATGAATCATTTTCTAGATTCCCAGCAGTGAAAAAGAGCATAGGTATGTACCAGGAGATTAGCTGTCCAGGCAAGATTTTTGACGTATAAAATCAAACCTTGCAGAACTTTGTTAGTTTACTCTTTACAAATTGAAAAAACATTGGGCCTTCTTGGAGAATTTGTTGCAAGTATACTATCATGGGTTATATTTGTTTCAGTCCTCAGCATTGCCTAGCTTCAGATCTGAACTCAAATGCTAAAGCAATCTATGATCGAGTGAGCTACAATCAGTGCTTGGAAGGGGTTGGGGGTGGGAGTGTTAGCTTTAACTGAAGCATCTGAGTTGGAGTTATTGCTGTGCCAGTCTGTTGCAGCGGTCTTGCAGTGGTCTGTTGCGTTGGCCAGCCGAGGGGAGTGCCATTTTTCCACTTTTCGTGGGCTATGAGTGGTAGGAAGGAAAGTAAGACATGAATGTATGAATGCCTGTCTCACAGATCCTTGATGTATGTTTCTTTATGTTGTTCCAGGAGGTGCTAGAGCTTGCTTTCTCTATATTGTATGACTCAAGCGGCCAGCTGAATTTTATTGCTCCAGACAAGCATGAGGTAAGTCAAGTTCAGGCTACAAGAACTTCCTTGAAGCCCTTTTAGCTCCATTATGGCAATGGCCAGCTTCATAAGAACATATGGATGGTCATCCTGGCTCAGAGTAAAGGTTCATCTATCCTCGTGTCCTGCCTCATAACAGTTAGACTGAATGCAGAGGGATTAGTGTGGGAATGGAGCCTTCAGCGATTTGCACGCATGGCCTGAGCCGTAGAGAGGACGTGTTTTGTATTTGTACACTGTGGAACACCATGGAGGTTCAGATTCCAGAGCAGTATTTCTAAGCACTACCAAAATGTGCACCACAAATAAGAGAAAGAAGACAGTTTGGGCAGACCTCGCCATTCCACAGACCTCACTGACAATTTCCTGGTGTGATAAAGACTTCTCCTGTTTTGGTCCATTTTAGACACTGGAGGATTTTCCTGTGCGTTCAAGACTGAATTGTTACATGTTAACAAACCTATTGTATTAAACCTCAGTTCAACATTGATGGTTTGTACAGCCCAGCTCTTAAATAATCGGTGGTATCTTCATCTGGTCTTGACTGCCCCATTATAGTCAGGGGATGTTATATCACCCCTAAATTTCAATTTCAGCAATAGCCTTATGTTCTCCAGAATTAGCATATCCCCTAATTCTTGATTTCACACTGCTTAAGCCCAGTTATGACAGGTAATCATAGACAGCCCTCTCTTTTGCACCTCCATAGTGGGATGATTTGCCACTGTGTATAGAAACAGTCTCAATGTAAATACATGCAAGACCGAATGAGTTCTGTATTGAAAAGAAAAGAAAAGGAAAGAAGGAATAAAGTATTTCCTCCCTATCTCTAAAGCAACAAGAGTTGGTTTTCCATCTACACAGTTATTTTGTGGTATCATATTTGGTCTCAATTCAGGATACTGCATTAGAAAGATGAAACACAGAAGAGTGCATTAAACTGTATTATGCTGTAGTGTTATTAAAGTGCATGAAATTGCATTACAAGTGAAGTGCATTAGTTATGCAGCTTCAACATTTGCATTTTTGGATAAAAACCTTCAAATAAATGTTAACTTTAAGAGAGGAAATGAGGTTATGCTCATTTGAGTATTCCTGAGGATTAATGTTTGAGTGTCATTTTCAAGCCTGAGAAAGATTTGTTGGTAAATTTTCATCTAAGAGAAACTAGCAATAGGTTCCCAAGCATAACGAGCCATTAGAGCTGTTGTTCTAAGCAAGACATGATTGTCTTCATCCTCTGAACTGGACATACTTTCTGATAAAAATTCTCCCGTAAATGAATTCTAGTCTATTTCAGCTCATAAGGGCAAATGGTCATGAAAATCAAGAACATTTTCAGCCTGCTTGCATTGGAAATATAGCTTATGGCTACAAGCATATTTTCATGGACTAAATGCTCAAAACCTGTTACTGCACCCTGCTTACAGCAGTGACTTTGTAAAAGGCAGTAACCCAATTGCTCATGGTTGTGTTAACACACCTATTATCTTTATCTCTCTTTCTAATCTTGCTCAGCTTCTTTGAAACAAAATTAATATGCTCAAAAATCGGCTGGAGGCAGCAGTCTCTGCTACTACTTGACAGTTCCCAAGTGAACGTTTTCAAAAAGGCATCTCTGTTCCTCTCTACTTTTTCATGGCCTACAGAAGAGTGAGTTGTGATTAAAGTAAAAAGTACAAGTGCTCAGAGGAAGCACCCACAAGGAAAGGCAGACAGGATGTTATGAAGCCCATAACTCTTCATGGAAGTAACTGGGGTACTTGTCAACAGAAGTGCTAGTTTAACAGGGCTGTCAGCATTGGAGATTTGGTGAGGGAAATCTTGAAATTTGGCAAGCTTTGTGTGAAGCACCAAGAATGATGTTAGTACCTGAGAATTTCAAGTTTCATTATTTTTTAAGTACTTCTCCAGTCAGTCCTTGTGATTGTAGAGTGATGAGTGAATGTGGAAATCAAATGTATCCTAAAAGGGAAAACTGAACTAGGATCATAGGAAAATTCAGGTTGGAAGGGACCTCAGGAGGTCCTGAGGCCAGCCTCCTGCTCAAAGCAGGCTCAGCTACGAGCTCATACCAGGTGGCTCAGGGATGTTTCCAGACAGGTCCGGAAAACCTCCAAGAATGGAGCCTGTACAACCTCTTTGGTTGTTTGCTTCCATTGTTTGACCTACAAAGTATTTCTTTAATAAAATCTCATTACTGAACTAATATCATAGAGATTTGAACCTCATTCTTGCGCACTTAAGTTTGGCAATGCTCTTAGCCATCTGTTGGAGCTTTACTGTTAGCCAGAGGATTCAGGACTATGAGATTATGCCGTCGTATTTGTTTTTCATTTGAATACTAATAGCTGGTTTCAACTACATAGAAAAAAGGTGGATTAATCTTATCCTTGATTTTTGACAGAGAAACTGATGAGGGAGGTTATAATTAGGTTTCATTGGAGTTTTATGAAAATGAATCTGTAGTAAATTAATTTTTCAGTGGCTCTTAGGCTGTTTTGCTTATTAAAAAGAAAAAAGCTTCTGAATGAATGCCTCCATTTTCTAACCAGCTCATTAGGATTTCTCTCTGCTCAGAATGTAGAAGAGTTTAATTAGATGCATTTGCCAATATGGAGATTGGAGAGGAAGCCCCTTTTCCAGGCCATTGCACTCATCTGAATTGAGGCCAGAATTTGGTTTCTGTGGGCCCTGAATGAGTTAGATCTGGAACAGGAGTGAACTGCAGTTCTGCTCGTCCTGGCACACTGGGGTTCCTCCCGAGGAGGTGCTGGCCATACCCACTGAGCAGGTCATGGACGATTCACATCCGATGCTGCGTCTCTTGAATGGGTGCTCCACACTTCTGTAAGCTGAGCAGGGTGTTGTGCCACTCTGTTCCTTTCTTCACAGGGAATTCTGGGAAAACTTTCCCAAAGAATGCTTTTAAGTGAATCATTAAAAAATTATGTTAAAAAATAATTATGTTTCTAGGATAGCTTTTTTCTTTCTCTGATGTTCTGCATCCACTCCATAGAAATCACACGCTTTAAAAGTAACACACTTTGAGAGCCTCGAATAGGCAGGGTAAGTCATTTCTTTAGTGCTTGATAGCAGGAGAGCCTGAGCCCTAAAGTCTCCACTATACAGCTAATCTCATATTAAAGCTACAGCTTGGCTTATCTACACCCTGGGTGAAATTCAAGCTCTACTATCATTCTGTTACTGACTTAAATGGGTCAGATTTCACTCGTGTATGTTGAAGTGTGTTAACCATCCTATTTTAAAAACATGCCCTTTTTTCTGGATGAAGATATACCCCTAAGAGGTTGGGGGAGAGTTCTCTTTCTTAAAAATAACCATTTCTGCTGTAGCATAAAGTCAACTGTGGCTATCTTTAAACTTTTAGCAAATGGTCAGCTAAATTTAAAATCCACTTTTTGGCATGAAATCTAGCGGAAGCATTTGTAAGATAAAAATGCAGTTACGGTTGATTTAATTTGCTCCTGCAAACTAGGACACACAAGTTCATGATTGAAATCTTTATTTTTAGATGATGCCATTTGAGTACTTCTGTTCATAGTTGCATAAATGGTTTTTAGTAATAAATTAAAGTGACTTATTTGATAAAAATTGACTCTAGATCTCCAGTCTCCCGTGGGTTTGTTGCTTATTTTAGGTGGTTATTCAGCCCATGTTTATCTCAAGCTGTCAGCCATTGGGGAAGGTGGCATCTCCTGTTAGGAAAAAGACAACAATATGGAATGGATTTTAGAGGCCAGTTCAGCCTTTGTAGCATGTAGAGGTGCACCAGGTAGCGTGGCGTTTAATTTTCATGTATTGATTCTGTAATTTTGAGAATGTATTATTTTGTGCTCTGTAAAATAGTGGTAGACAGAGATATGTAAACAAGGGCCTATCTCTGCACAGGTTAGTTGATACCACTTTATGTTGGTTAGCTTTGCTATAAATTAAACTAGACAGTTTGCACAGAATTTCTTACAGAAAGAGTCGAGGGGGGATTTTGACTGGGATTCAGCTCATCTAACTTAGTTGTCCTGGAATTAAAAGTTTAGTCTAAGAGAGACATGCACTCTATAAATACTGGAAAAGGAGAGGAGGAGAAGGAGGGCTCTCCAAAGGTTCTTTGTCCTAAGTCAGGTACCATTCTTCCTCCCATAACTATTGAGGAATTGTCAGCAACGTGCTTGGACAAGATGCCTAACTTTTAAACACCTGAATGTTATCATTTCTTCCTATTTTCAGGCAATTTTTTGTTCATTTTTGGAGCAGCTCTGTGGCACGTGTCTTCTTCATAGTATGAACTAATAAGATGAACCTGCCTCATTTTAGGTCTCTTCCTAAGTCTCTGAGGGATCAATACCTGTAGAGGACAAGGCCAGCGAAGCGGTTTGTGTGCAGAAAGCCTATTAATGGTAGTTTTTGTCTTTTTCCTATGCAGTATTGTGTATGGACCGATGGGCTGAATGCCCTTCTTGGGAAGGATATGTTGAGTGATCTAACACGGAACGACTTAGACACACTGCTCAGCATGGAGATAAAGCTACGCCTCCTTGACTTGGAAAACATACAGATCCCAGATGCTCCCCCACCTATCCCAAAGGAGCCTAGCAACTACGACTTTGTTTATGACTGTAACTGAGGCTGCCACTGAAACTTGCGTCAAAACTGGAAATACTATGACTGGAGAGATTTTTAAAAAAGAGAGAATGAAAAAAGAAAAACCCACTTGCGCACCTTGGATTTTGGCTTTGGGGAGGGGTGTTAAAACACTTGCATTCCTCCCTATTCCCTGCATCCCTTCCTTTTCCTGTTCCCATCTTCCCCATGGCTCATCCAAATCCACATTGCTTTAATTAACTTTTAATTGCAGGCCAGTGGCCATGCTTAAGGCGAAGACCACCACTAAGAAGCACCCTCCCGAGGACTTTTTATACATTTTTAATACAGGAATAGACATTCTTAATTATAAGGACAATGCTACCAAACTGCATGCCTGTGAAACCCACCTGGCAGGGCAGAGGCTTTAACTGGAAGGAGGGGGGAGGTAGGGAGCAGAAGCAACTACTGTAAGCAGAAGATTTTCCCAGACACTCCCAAGAGTCTGCTCACAACTGAATCCAATGCAATGATGAAAATTGTTAACTGCTTCCCAGTGCTTGCACCATTTGTCACTGTCATTATTCTTTCCACTGTCACCTCGACTCTTGTCACCGGCCTTCACCCAACTGATCGGCTCCCAAGAATTGAAAGTCTGCAGGTTTTTGCTGTACCATACGCTGCAATGTTGCGACAGCTTTTAACTTCTTTTCCTCCCAGCTCTTAAATAGCCCTACACTAGCAAATCACTAGCACAGATTGTGTATGAAGCCACTAGTGTGTTCTGTCTCTATAGCGTTCCCTAAGCCTCAGTTGCCTCTAAAATTGGCTTGTTGCTACTCAAAGTGATTTTTATTTTCTTGGTCCAAAGTTCAACAGTAGTTTCCACAAATTACTTCAAACTGCCAAACATCCAGGTTTACATTGTTGTCATTGCTACAGTGTTACAAATTTGCAAGGGATTTTTTTTGTACGGGTTCTAATTTTTTTTTTACTTTATTTTGCCAAACAAATATATTTAATGAAAACTAATTTCATTGTGAGTACTTTTGGGGGACAATATTTTTACTTAATTTCCATTTGGAACGTTTGCCCGAAGGGAAGAAAACAATATTCCCTTCAACTTCGCTGTTGAATAAAAATCTGAGTTGTGATGATTCTTGGAACTTTGTTTTTTCTTTTGAAGTTCTCTTTTATTCTTGCATTTTCATAGCAATTCTGAAGCCTTTGGTACGGACAGGAGAGGGAAAGGTGAACCTTTCTCATATACCTCTGATTTCCTTTGCTTACTTACTTGCTTGGGGTGACAAAAATGATGTGTGGCCAGAGATCTGCATTGCTCTAGGTGCATGAGCCTTCATATAAGGAGAAGCCTTTGAGAAATCTGAAATCAAAGCATACTGAAAGGTTCATGGTCTACTCAAGGCTGCTACTTAGAGCGTGTTTGCTGGAGTAACTGCGTTTCTTGTGCTGCTGTTTTCTCTCTAGAGAGGGTTTCTTGCTACAAAGGAATAGTACTGGAGAGGTTTGGGCTTTGCAGGATAGTTTGCTCCCCCTTCTTCATTTTCCTATAGGTATTTTACTTAGTTCAGTCTCTCTTACCCTAAAAGTGCTGGGTCTAGATGTAGAAGAATCCATCAGTCCTTATCCTTCCCCCACACAAGCTAAAGACAAACGTTAGTTTGTGTGGGTTCTTCTCTTGCTTAGACCAAGTCTAAAAAGACCTTGAAGGGATTTTATCAGAGGTTGCACTTAGAGGACAGAGATACTTAGAGGGCAGTTTCAGTTTAGATGCACATACAGGGCCTCAACTCAGGTAACCTTTGCTTCCACCTGGACCTGGGGCAAGCCTCTTGACTGACCTTGTACCAGGTGGAGAAGAGAAATGACATCCTTCAGGTGGATCAGAGAGGAGAAAGAGGAGAACATTGCACGAAATCCTAAAGAGTCCTAAAGAAGGTACCTTCCTGAAGTTGTGTTTGCAGTATTTCATGGGTGCCTTGATCTAGCAGGAAATGTAGATTGGTTTAGATGGTGAAGGATGGTAAAGAAAGGAAAAGAAACTCTGAGTTAAACACCGGAGTAAAAAGTTGCAATGGACCATGATCTGAGAGAAAATTCAGTATGAATGAGAGTGGGGATGTGCAATATGAAAGCTGGAAATGTTTTATTCTCTGAAACTTTGTCAGACTGCGGCAAAGGTGATCGGGGTCAGGAGTGTCTGGAAACAAGGGCACTGCCTGCCACAGGGGATTTCAGAGGGGTCATGGAGGTGGAGGATGGAGGTAGAAACATGTCTCTTACCAGACACTGAAACTTCCCCTTGTCTGTCTAAGACAAGTCTCAGAGCAGAACAGAGAGTCTAAGTTGTTTTATTAATCTCCCTGACCTAGCTGGATGTTTGCAACTCAGCTATGCATAACCCTTGCTTTTTATTTACAGGCTGCAGAGCTGGTGGTTCAGCTGTGTATTATGCGTTGTCAAAAGAAACACCTTTCACTTCCAAGTGATAAGAGCCAAACGCTGCCTGGTCAGCGGCAATGACGCACGTTGATTTTAGCAGGAACGAAATCAGAAGGGAGCAAACAAAACAACTCTCCTCTTGGGGACAGCTTGAGCAGGAGGGAAGGGTTAGGCTTGACTCCCCCACCAAAGTGAGTGCCCCGAATGGCACACTAGGAGCCCAGAGAAGGCAGTGGGAGGAGAGCTGGGAACTCAGCCCTCCATTTTTATAGACAAACGCCTTGGGCCAGTTCGCATTATGCTAACGCACCATGGCACCACTGCAGCAGCGTAATGCTCTTGAGCATGAAACACTCACAGCTGGCTCTCTCTTTATATCCCTTGGGCACGTAGGTGACACAGCCCAGTGCCGCTCTTCTGCCCCATTACTCCTCCTGGCTCTCACAGCCTGCCCGGGGCAGGCCGATACCACAGCACCATTGCAGGGCTCAGGTTCACCGTCTCAAAGGGCTCTGCATTTAGAAGACCCCTGCTAGCACCTCATCTCCTCACATGGCCTAGCTCTCATTGTAGACCTCACATCGTTGTAGGCTTTGTCACGTGAGCAGGCATGCTAAATCTGTCACCCCATCACATGTCCCACCCTGCCAGAAGGAAGAAGAGGCTTGAGAGATGCGTTGGCATGATAGCCCGTGCAGCTATTTTAAAAGCACTCCCACAGCAACGCACAGGGCCGTGGTGCAAACAAGAATCCTGCCTTCAGTTGCTAAAGCTGTCAAACAAAATTACTTCAACATTAGGAAATTCAAAAATATGTTTAATGATGAATAAGTAGCCCGCTGCTTCCCATTCATTAAAAAAAAAAAAGAATGAAAATGGCAAATTCATTTGCTCATGCTGTTTTGTATTCTGGAAAAGCTTTTAAGGTTTCACATTCAAGGAGGAACAAAAATTGCTATTGAAGTTTTTTGTATAATTTCAAAATGTTAAGTGGGTAATTGCTTGTAAAAGCCATAAAGGAGAGAGAGGAGGAAAAAATAGTAAGTCTAATTTTAGCAGCTGTTTTTGAAGTGACTTTTCTTTTGAAAGTGAATAGTCGTTCACCAGAAAACTTGAATCAAGAAAAATATGTATCTTGGTAAGTCAACTGCTTGTCCTGCTTGTAAGGACGAGAAGAGTAGCAGTGCTAAGTAATCCTGCACGAAAGCAAGCTACGTGTCATAGAAAGGCTGTCTCATGGCTTTGATTACTGTCTCTGAGATGCAGTTCCTTTTTTAGCATGTTGAACTTTTATTAAACATTAGAACTTGCGGAGAAAATAACATTCTCTTGCAAAGATGCAGGTAAGGGATGACTCTATCTTTAGGACTGCAGTATGACCATGTAATAAGACCTTGGCCACTTTATTTGCCCAATCCTCTTGTGATGTCTTTGTGCCCTATTCAGGATTGCATTTTACTTGCCCAGGGCATATGCTGCCAACATTTCTCCCACATCAGTAGTCCCCAGGTAGTGCAGGTATGTTGCGTGTGTGCTGGGATGTGAAAGCCTCTGGAGATCTAGTAGGATCTGCTGGCTGAAACAAATATGTCCCCACCATGCTCGTGCGGCATGCCGCGGCACGTGCCAAGGCATGAGGGAGCCCTGCACGCCCTCAGCTACCCTGGAGCCTCCCAGCAGCTCTTGCAAGAGGGAGGGGTCAAAAGGAGGAGAAACAAAAATCCCCTTTGGGCACGCGCAGATGGAGAGAGAGAGAGACACGCACACAAAGCGCCTTGAATGCCCATCTGCTTATTAGTTGCTTGTCGTTCCCTCAGGCTGCGATAGTTGGAGGTGGCTGTGATGCCAACAGCTCTACAGTGGTGAGCGCTGTTAAGGCTCAGCAATAACCAGTGATGGAGGAGGTATGGAGGAGGAGGACATTCTCATACTGGCGTATCCCTGCCTTTCTCCCTCTCTTTTGTTGCTGCTGCTTACAGACCAGTAAATGCCAGCAGTTTGGCTGCCGTGGGAGAGTTGTTCATCTGAGGAATGTAATAAGCTGAAAGTGAGATTTTCCCCCCTTCCAGTTTGACTCTTGAGACAAAAAAAAAGGTAGCCCTTACTGTCCTCAAGATATCTTAGCTGTCAGATAAAAGCCTTGAATACTAAGCATTTGACATAAGAAAAGAGCTCTTCCTCTTTCAACACCATCAAGGAGTTGGAAGTGAAGGGAAATGGATTTCCCTTCAGATGCAGTCTCACAACCTCTACATGGTCCTGAGGGTAAAATTCCTGTGAACTCTAGAAGACATTCATGTAACAGAGGATTTGTCATTTACACTTGCTACATCAGAGCAAGACTCACTCAGTGCTCCTTCACTAGATGATAATTATATTTGAATATTAAATATACACATGGCTTGTTCCTTGATTAGCCAAGTACTTATGCTTATCCCCAAGCAGCGAAACGGACTTGATTTCAGTTTGATAAGCAGGCACCCAACTTGAAGCGCATGCTTGTGGACCTGGCTAGGTCATGTCCCATATAAGCAGCAAGGCTATTTTACCAGGTACTGACTTTTTTATACCTGTTTGCAGGCTATGCCTACCTTCCTGTATGATAAGTAATAGGATCAGGTGCCACTAGTTACTGTAAGAGGTTAAATAAGACACCACCTGATTATTCAGTGTCGCTCCAGCCGCTTCCTTCGTCTTTGAGACTCATAGAGGCAAAAGGATTAAAACACACACACACCCTCGACAGGGGACTAGCGGAGGTAGTGTCTAAAGCACAACTTCTTTGGGGCATAACCACGTATGAATGACTGTTGGCAGAGCCCTGAATTTTTAAAGTGAGGTGACTTCGAAGCGCTGATACTGGCAGTGCAGTCCCACTGCAGCCTCATGAGGGCAAGGTTAAAAGGACAGTTTCAAATTCATTTAATAACATATAATTACATTATATTTTCACTTCTACCTGGGAAGCCTTGAAGGCCTCTCACCGAAGAGTAGAGCTTGCCCTGTGCTGCTTAGCTTGCAGAGACACACCTAGGGCAAAGGAAATATTTCATGAGCTATCCTTCTCCAAGTAGATAGATTGATAATGGAAATAGGACAGTTTCTAAATTGCTGTACTTTTTGACTAGAGAATTTCTCAGCTTTACTGTAGCCATCCCCCTGCAGGTGCTCTGCAGAGAGCAGTAGCTTTTGTACTTTTATACTGTCTTGGAAGAGCCAAACAAGTCTGCTCATGTTGGGAGTCCAACCAAAGCCATCATTAATCCCATTTGCCTCTTGGCTATAGACCGCTTCCTAAGAGACATGACCTAGGGCACCACGCTGGGGGCCCTGTACTACCGTCCCAGGCAGGCAACAAGGCATCGGTGCACATTGTAGGTGGGAGGGAAAAGGATGTGTAATGCAGCTTCACCAAGTCATTCACCCAAGGGCAGACTTTCTTTCCTGTGATGCCTAAGGATTTGTATTTAATGACTTTACTTCAATCGTCATTAGAGGGTTTTGCAGCCTGGTTGAGCACAGCAATTACGTTCTCCCTTGATGAAACCTTGTGAGTCTAATTTTAATCTTCTTGGAAATGTAGTGGTCAGCCTAAACTGATGTTTTGGGACTCCTTTGGGTTGTTGCAAGGGGAGGGAGGTTGGCTGTCTCCTGTTTAATAAGAGGCAGCAGTTTTTCCAAGGGATGTCTACATCC